GCAGCGGGCGGGTCAGGAGAGGTCTGCCACGCCATGTGGTCACCTCCGGGGCAGGCGGGAATCGAACTCATGAGGAAGCGGCTTTAGATTCTCAGTGCTGTGCTTTAACCCGCTGCGCCACCAGGGAGGGCCGTAAGCATAGGCTTTTGAAGAAATCACCAGTGGTTTAGAAATTCAGGGGACTGAATTTTAAAGAAGCTGCCAAATAAATTCCAGCTTTGATATTGCTATTGAGATGTTTATAATAGAACAGCGCTTGAGTTTTTGAGAATTTAAGAGGTGACAGTCTCTTAAAAGGGACGTGAAGGGAATGCAACAGAGAAGAAAATAGTCAGCGACAGGGGAAAGGAAGCAAGAAAATGTATGGAAAGATGAAAAAATAAAAGGAAGAGAAAGAAAGGCATGAAAGAGGAAAAAGGAAGGAGAAAAGACTTTAGATATGTGAAAATACGGGAAAAGTAAGTGCTTCTTGTTAGAGAGGTAAGACAGAAGTTGATACTGTGGAAAGGGAAGTCCAGTTCCTGAGCCAAAGCAGTTTACTTTGAAAATAACATCTTCATCTTCAGTAGTCACCAATTATTTATTTCATTGCCAAAACAGTGTTAGTAGTCATTATAGTTTTCACCATTATGCATTTATAGTAAAAAAATGAATAAAAAAAATTCATTTATGAGTACCTTTGATAAAGCAGCAAAAATTATATTTAAGGAAATCCATTTCCATATTTGTTCACATTGCTTATTTAATGGAGCACCATGTTTTTTAAAAGATTTATTTATTTATTCATACAGAACTGGGGTACAGCCCAGAGATGCAGAGGTGAGAGGATTCACCAGAGACAGAGCGGGGAGCAGAATAGGCAGATCAATGAAGTATACTGCTGAGGGGAGCAGCGGGCGGGTCAGGAGAGGTCTGCCTCACCATGTGGGTCTCCTCTGAGGCAGGCAGGGATCGAACTCATGGGGAAGTGGCTTTAGCTCTCAGTGCTGTACTTTAACCTGCTGCGCCACCAGGGAGGGCCCTGGAGCACCATTTTTAATTAAAAAAGTGATTGTCAGACAAACTATGGCTTTTCAGATTGGGGTATGTGTCATATATTTTCACAAAAATTAATGGAACACATCTGTCATTATTAGGGGAAAAACTGGTATTTTTTTGGCCATGATAAATTCCATGTTTCAAGGAAGAATTAGAATTTAGGAAAATTTGAAGTCCACCAACTGAAATTTCTCAGCTTCTCAATACTTAAAGACTTCTTTGATCACATCAGTGGTGATATTAAAGATTTATAACAATGTAAAATAGTGCTGTTTTTTTCACTATACATTATTTTGGAAAAGATATATATATATATATATATAT